GCTATTCTTCATTTTAACTCAACAAAACCGATCATGCTGAACTTAAAACAACTAAACTGATCATATAAAAGACTTTGGTTCGAAAGTTGTCGGAGAAAATTGAACTTTGTTTGGCGTTAAAATCACTTAAGCGTACATGAACTTAGGTACGGTTTTCTCATGATATTCTCAAAATTCTCGCAAATACTCCGAACGTTTAACTCTGAATTGATCTTATTAACATATATATAACCTGGAGAAGAAATTACCTCTTCAATCGCTCGACGAAACTCGGAAAAATAGGTGTGCTTCCTTCTCGTGTAACCCCGCGCGGTAACTTCTTGATTTGCCGTGCGATTTTGGTGAGAAATTAAGGAGGATTGATGGAACGAAAGGAGCTGCTGAAGGCTGATTATGGTTGCTGAAACTTATAGGGAAAAATCGGTGGAAAAATTTGGACTAAGATAAGCCTTATATAGAGGCCGTGAGGGAGGGTGCGATGATGATGGCCGTGCGTGGCTTCTCCCTCATCTAACACTTGGTTAATTCTCATGCTATGGCAAGATGACTAAGCACTCTTAATGCTTGACAAGTTTCCAATTCTCATTGGTCAATTTCTTCCTTTCCTCACCCTTAAGAAAGGTCACGGCAATTAGTATGATTTATGGGAAAATTTTGCTAAGTATTGGACTTAATGTGCTAAGCCACGGCTATTAGGGTTGCTATGTGATTAATTCCAATTAATCACTTAAATGATGTTTAATTGTTAAATTAAACATACTACTTAATTACCAAAATTTATTTCGGACGTAAACGGTACGCCGAAAATAGATTTCGGTAATTCCGACTGAACTTAACTAATTCCGAAAATAATAAGCGATAACGTTACTATATCGGAATTAAACGTAATTTATACTGATAATATCTCGGGATATTACAAGCCATAGTATGGAGGAGTGTCAAGCAAAAATGCGTGGCAGACTCAACCATGGAGGCTGAGTATGTAGTAGCCTCAGAGGCAGCGAAAGAAGTTGTCTGGCTTAAGAATTTTCTCCTCGACCTTAATGTGGTATGGAGTTTGCCCCCTGTGATTATAGTGTTCTGTGATAACAACGGAGCAGTAGCAAATTCGAAGGAACCACGGACTCATAAACCGAGTAAACACATAGAGTGCAAGTACCACATAATACGAGAAATCGTTGGACGAGGAGAAGTCGTTGTTGCCAAGATACAGTCAGAGGACAACCTAGCAGATCCTTTTACGAAGAGCCTACCGGCGAAAATCTTTACAAGACACGTAGAAGGAATGAGAGTCAGACGTTAGAGCGACATAGTAAACTAGTCTTTGAGAATTAGATTGAGAGAAATTGTGGTTAGTTTATTTTAACCATGAGCTTATAAAGCATAAGTGGGAGATTGTTAGAGATATGCTGTAAAAGCTATGTTTTGCAGATTCTATCAATTCCATTTTGATCTGGCCATCATGTTTCAGTCAAAGTACATATGTTTGCAGTTTGTTTATTTATGCAAATCATACTCCTTGTCTTATATTGAAATAATTTGGTTCGAAGTGTTTCGAACAGAAAGATCACCTATCAGTTCCTTATAAGACTAAACTACTCGTTCACAGTCTAGACATGCAGTGAGACCCCTCTTGGAAAAGGACTGTAGTGTATTCTTGATTCAGTTGGTCTTTGACTGAAGAATTACACTAGCACCTATGATAAGTGTTGAATAGGACCGCGAAAGGATAAGATTATGAGACTCACTTATCGTTGTTGTAATCTAGACATTCGGTGATTGATGCGTTCTCTTAATCTATAAGATAATATAAAATAGGCATATATATTCACTTCTTGTTTATTTGATTTACCAAGTGATTCTTATTTTATTAGGATGACATACTAGGTATTTTGGTAAATGAGAATGATTATATGATGTGTTATTATAAATTATTTATGGTCACTATGTTCTAGTGCACTAGATTGATGGCGTTCCCGAAATGAGCTCATGAAGGTACATTATGTTAAACCCTGCAGGTAGACGATTGTCTGACATAATGTTAATGATCTCAGTGGTACTAATTTCGGAAATGAATAAGAAGTTCATTAATTATTTTGTTATTAATTTAATTAATCAACGGACGTTATATCTTAAACATAGGGTGGTAAATCGATCAATCAGATTGATATTATTTAATCATGGAGAGCTAAATGGGGAGAGCAATAATATTACTCTAGTGGGATGTTTTATTATTTATTTCCATTTAATGAGAAATTAATTTTATTCCATATTTATTATTCCATGGGGAATGGAATATTCGTACAAGAATCTTGTCTAAGGTTAGGAGACTTGGGAGTCTTCTAGAAGGAGATGATTAGTAGGAGAATTCTATCCTTGATTGGATTAGTAGATGGAGTAGAATTAGGATTCCTTGGCCTAATGAGATAAGCTCATATTTAGCATCTCCTTAAGGTCCCTAATGGAGCCAATAAATACACCATGTTCCAACCTCTTGTACAAGCTTATGCTGGCCGATTTTCTCCTACATACACGAGAGAAAGAGCATTGTTCGAGAGTAAGGGAGATTCGATTAATTGCTCCACCAAGATTAATCGATGTCGGTGTTTAGGTAATCCGTTAGAAGGTCTTTTGGTACAATATATTCAAGCCTTCTACATATATATTTCCGGTCATCTTTCCCAGCCATCC